CAAGCACTCATCGTGTGAAGTCAGACACCGCACGCATGCTCCTGATCCACTGATGGTGATACGTGGCACCTCGATGCGCAACCACCGGACAAGGTTAAAAGCGTCTTAACCTTGAAAGATAGATCAGAGGCGAGCGATGAGACACTTATACGCAACGGTGGGCTCTGAGATGCCAGTAGACACGGGACCAACGCAAAATGAGTGGAACTCATCAAGTACTTTTACCGATCAAGTTGGAATGCAGCGGAAACGATGTTGTAATAATGAACACAAAGCAGTCTAACACAAAAATCGTTAGGTAAACGTGTTCATAGTATCAAGGTACGATAACTGTAATGGACGGAAAACAGTGAAATTTAGTTTATATTGTACCAAAATAGTGACTGACTAACTGGAGAAAAACGCAGCACATAATTACTAAATTCCCGATGTCTGATTTAATTAGTAGCTCGGTAAGGCCTGATAAGTAACTTTGCGAAATTTGTTACAATCATTTTACCGTTTATCTCCGCAGTTCTGTCAAGTGTTAGTTGCTTATTTTGGGGTAATTAAACCAGCCACTGTTTAACCGACTAAAACCAGCGCGCCGTACCCACCAGACCAAGTAGTTTGCAAATGGCAGTAGAAAATGGAATAACTGAAGTCGTAGTAGCAGGAAACAACAGATATGATCTGAAAAAATATTCTAATCCAGAACTAAAATTCGCTAAAGCAATATAACAGACGAGGAAAGAACTGCGAATTGTATCATATAGGAAATTGTTAATCACTAATTATGACTGACCAAATAAGTTAGGTTCATAGCCTACGTAAATCCATGGAAAAATCCAAAACCTTATGCTGATGATAGAAAAAAGGAAATGGTTATCCCGAACGATTCAGAGAGAAATTGTCAAGAAAGACTGCTATTCGAACAGTCTCACGAGGCTCGGAAAAAGAACAAATTCGTCTGTATACCTTTTCAAGAAGATGCTTTATCGGACCTCTTGAACAAACGTCTGACGCTTGCATTTAAGCGGACTTACAACGCAGCTCGATTATCGAATGTGTTCACAGGATAGCCCATCAGCCGAACCAGTCACAAAGATAGGCTGCCTACACCGGCCACTTCTGTGATTATCCACTCCTTCCGACGCGTTTGTAATGCAACGTACACGGCTAGTCAAGTCATACGGCTAGGCAAGTAGCCCAGCGGATGACGGAACATTGCCAACGCTGGTTAAGACAAGGAGGCACAACGAGCATAGAAAGCATCCACCTCTTCGCACCAGAACTATGCGTACAAAAGTGACTAGTCCAGGCTCTCCACTTACTCTGGTCTCCAACTGATTACAAACAACACCGCCAACACTCCAACCACAATCGCCCAACCACAGACACAGCCATCCATTCACTCTCCTCATTATGAATNNNNGTGTGAAAATGTCTTCACTAATAAAAAACCTTAAACGACCTGTACAGGTAGTAGTAGGAATACTTCGATAACAGTTGTTCGTCTTCGAACTTGACTTTTAATGACGACAGTATCGTTGTGCAATCCACCTTGGTGAAACCAAACATACAGCACTAGAGGCGCGCCTTGCAATGGCAGTGAATTACTGAAGGTATCTTCAA